AGCAGCAGCAGCAGCAGCAGCAGCAGCAGCGCGGACATGCGAATGGCCTTGTTGGCCTTGTTGAAGTAGACGAATCTGTAGGAGTCTTCTTGCCGCATTGTCTTTCGAAACTCCGAAGAAAGAATTCCATTTAATGCATGCAGCCCGCAGGGGCCTTCTATTGCTGCAGCTCGAATCGACTGCAGCTGCTGCGCCAAACAAACACCAAACGAGGGTTTAGGGTTTAGGGTTTACGGCTTCGCCCTTGCCGCCAACGGCCGCACTTCAAAACAAACCACCCTCCCTAACACTGGGGGCCCCCACAGGCCCCCTGGGGGCCCCATGAGGCCCCCTGGGGGCCCCTTAGGGTCCTTCTGGGGGACCCCCAGGGCCCCCTTGGAGGCCCCCTGGGGCCCCCCTGGGGGCCCCCTAGGGGCCCCCTGGAGGCTTGTAAAGTTGGATTTAATTGGAGTAGAACTGACGGCGACATCTGAGGCTTTGGGGTCTTTTTCGTCGAGCAGCAGCAGCAGCAGCAGCTGCTCGTAAGTGAGGGCCAAGAGGGCCCCCTTGGAGTCATCGGGGAGATGCAGCAAAGGCAAAAAAGCAAATTCTCTGAAGTTCAGTTCAAACAACAAGAAACCCCTGTTTTGTTGATTCTCACTCCGCTGCTGCTGCTGCTGCTGCTGCTGTTGAATTAAACTGAATTGGAGTGATTTTTACCGAATTAAACCGAATAAAGCTGAATCAACGTGAATTAAAAAGCACTACACTAAATTAAAATGAATTAAAATGAATTAAAATGAATTGAAATGAATTAAAATGAATTAAATTAAATCAATTATTTCCAACTTGCCCCAAAGGCCCGAAAAGAAAGCCAGTGGATTGGCTCGCAGAAATGGCCCGGCCAAAAGAAGAACTTCCGCCCCCAGGCTGCAGCAGCAAATAAAACAAATAAAAGAAATTAAATTAATTAAATCAATCAATTTAATTTAATTTAATTTAATTTGATTTAATTAATTTGATTTAATTAATTTAATTTAGTCAATAGGAAAATATAAAACAAAAATAAACGTAGAAATGAAAATAATAATGAGAATAATTCAAAATAAGCACTTGGGCATTTTGCAAAAAAAGAAAAAAGCAAATCGGCAAAAAACCGAGAAAAAGGGAAATAAAAAAGAACAAAAACAAAAAAGATAAAGAAAGAAGCAGCAGCAGCAGCAGCTGCTGCTGCTGCTGCGGCAGCAAAGGAAAGGGACAGCGGAGGCTGCTGCTGGCGTGCCTTTGCTGCTGCTGTGGGGGCCCTGCCGTAAGGGGGTTTGGTGAGTTTGCTGCTGCTGACTGCTGCTGCACCTTCAGCAGCAAATAAGAGATTATATAAAACCACAAAAGGGTCAGCAGCAGACTCGAGGCCTGCGGGGCAGAGGCAGCAGCCAGCAGCAGCAGCAGCAGCGCCAGCAGCAGCAGCGCCCCCAGCAGCAGCAGCAGCAGCGGCTGCTGCAGCAGCAGCAGCCGGCACCAGGGGGGCCGGGAAGCTGCAGCAGCAGAGACAACGAAAGGAAATTAAAAAATAAATTAAAATTAAAAGGAAAGAATATTTAAAACAAATACTTTTTATCTTTAAAAGAAATAAAATTCGAGAAGAAATGACTCATTAGAACTCCCTTTTGATTCTTTTTCTTTTAATTGTCTGCTTCTGCATGCAACTTTAATTAAAAATATAAAAATAAAATAAAATAATATAATATAAAACGGAAAAAGATTTGAAACGGATCGCGAGCGCATGCATGCAAGGGCTGCTGCGGCTGCAGGTGTACGTACACCCCAGCCCAGCAACCCAAAAAACTGTTGTCCTTTTAATTTATTGAATTTATTGAATTTATTTAATTAATTGAGCTTATTGAATTTATTTAAATGATTAAATTATTGAATTTATTTAAACTATTTAACTATTGAATTTATTTAAACCATTTAATTGATTTAATTTAATTTAATTAAAAGCTCACGACTGGTAAAGAAGACAGCCGTTAATGACCAAAGCTGCATGCAGAATTGAAGGAAATTTATTTTGCAAAAGAGAAATCAAAGAAGGAACTGAAAGGTAAGCCAGACGGTCCGCGGGGGCGTAGTGGACTCCTGCTGTTGCTGCAGCAGCAGCAGCAGCAGCAGCAGCAAAAGGGCGAGCAGTGGATCGAAGAAAAAGGAAAAGTAGGGAGTGTGTCAATAAATGAAAAGTAATTGAACAGCAAATCGATAAAAAGATAAAAGGAAATAAATTGTAAACAAAACAGAAATATGAAAGTTTCAAAAACGACACTTATTTAACTTTCCGCAAAAATAGCATTTTTAATGAACAAATGCACAAAAAAAAAAAAGGAAAAACATTTAAATATTGTATTTACAAATGCATGCAAGTCGAGCTCTTTATTAAGAATTAAAAAAGAAAGAAAAGCCCTTTTTCTGATTCAAAGACGGCGAAGCAGCTGCAGCTTTGTGGGCGCGGGGTGTATGTACACCGCGGGGTGTATGTACACCGCGGGGTGTATGTACACCGCGGGGTGTATGTACACTGCAAGAACCCACCGTGGAAAAGGGAAAGCTTTTTTGGGTCAATTGTTTCGACAAAAGCTGCAGAATAGTCATTTAAGACTTCTCTAAGTTCATCTTTTTTTCCGTTTTTAATGAACAAGTCGAAGCGCCCGTGCAGCAGCCGGAAGACTGCGGCGTAGTTCCGCAGAACCTGAACAAAAAAAGAGAATTCACTTCGAAATTGAACAAAAACAGAAAATTAAAGAATAATTAAACAAAATAAAAATTAAATTGGAACAAAAAAGAAAAAAACGGCGAAAAAAAGATCCAAAATTCCGAAAATGAACGAAATTTGCAAAACCCCTTGCAGAAACTCTGGAGTGTACGTACACCCAAAAGAATTTCCTCCCGAGTGTCTTCTTCGACATTTTTTAAACTTTCCAAAAGAGGAACTGAGAAAGACTGCAGCAAAAGAAAGAAAAGAAAGTTTGCATTTAATTGTTTTGGATCTTTTTTGAATTTCCAAAACCCAGGAGCTGCGCGGCAGGTGTACGTACACCCCAGGACACCCCGCAGGTGTACGTACACCCCAAGACCTGTTTTGAAGTGTACGTACACCCTGAAACAGCTCACCATCGACAGCCAGTAATTCAATTCCACTTCTTCAATCACAATTATATATTTTTCCGTGCAAATCGAACGCAAAGGCTGGCCCCCAGGAGTGAAGGGCCTGCGCACATTGCGGTGTACGTACACCTCAGATCGCTCACAAAGGCCCCGCCAGAGATGAGCCTTTGGCAGCAAATGAGCCACACAAACCAGGCCTTTCTGCTGCTGCTGCTGCTGCACTGCTGCTGCTTGCTGCACTGCTGCTGCTGCTGCTAGCTGCACTGCTGCTGGCGCTGTTTGCTGTTTGCTGCTGCTGCTAGCTGCACTGATGCTGGCGCTGTTTGCTGCGCTGCTGCTGCTGCTTCTGGCTGCTTGCTGCTGCTGCTGCTTGCTGCTTTGCTGCAGCAATTCACACGAAAGGAAGCTTTTGCTGCGGAGCAAAGCCGAGATGGATTAGTTTTAAGGATTAAGGGAAGCACTTAACTGCAAAGGAGGATTTAATGTTTAATTTATATTTATTTCGAAAAAAAGGACTTATTTGATGCAGCAAAGACTCACTTGGTGAACAGCAAAAGCCCCTCCAACAGCCCCGCCTGGCTGCGCCTCTCTTCGGGCTCTCTGTCTCTGGGAAAGCTGAAGACCACTTTTGCTTCCTGTTCCTTTTCTTCGCGCGAAAGGCCCTCTTCTTCCTCTTCTCCCGACTCTGCTGCTGCTGCTGCTGCTGCTGCTGCTGCTGCGTCTTCCGCCGCGGCCGCGGGCGCCGAGGGCTCCGGCTGCAGCGTCGGGTTGAAGAGCAGAATGCCCACGACGCAGAGGCCCGCGCCCCCTGCTGCTGCTGCTGCTGCTGCTGCTGCTGCGGTCACCGGAGAGGCGGCTGCGGCGTCCCGCTTCGGGGAACCTTCCGCGGGGGGCTTCCTCGCGGAGGAGAAGAACATTGCGGAAATAACAAACTTCAAAAACAAAGAAGAGAGCCGGTGCGAAGTTGCTGCGCGAAGTCGCCGCACACGCAGCGCAGTAACACCCGGTCCGCCAGCGACACCGGAAACGCGAGGGAAACCGGCACGAAAGTCCCGCCGCGGAGGTCTCAGCCGCGCCTATGTTCTCCAAAAACACTTTTCACTTCAGACACATCAAGAACAACGAAGAAAAGCCATAAAAATGGCCCGCCAATTAGCGAAATCCGCTGCGCGGCGCGGCGACCGAGTTGCGGTGTACAGGCAGCTCGTTCAGAAACTCGCCCGCGACCGCGCAAAGCCAGCCTCAGAATTTGTTTTTCTGCGCGGAGTTCGTTTTGAAGTTCAGCGAAATGAATTATTCCAATTGCATTCAACTAAATTCAAAAGATCCTTTTCGAGCTTCCTGTCTGCGGTCGCGCAGCCACGCACCGCCTACTGCTGAACTGCATGTGCACTGAAGCAGCAGGTGGAAAGCTGCGCGACTCTCCACTAAGCCGCTCTTCAAAGAGGAAATTTCAGCTTTATTTTTAGTTTATTTTCTTTTCTTTTGTCAATTATCCTTTCTTCGCCGTTTTCGCTTCGCGAGAAAGCCCGGGGCGGCTCCCCAGGATCCCCGTGCAAGACACGGAAAGCTGCGGGACTCGCGGATCTTCTCCGAGAGGAACTGACGATCCGAAGCTCCAAATGCAGCTTGTAAATCCCTTTTTAATTATTAATTCATTATAACGCAAGCAGGGACGGACACAGCGCCGCTGCGCCGGCCTCCGCGTCTTTTTCAATTTCGTTCAACTTCGTGAAATCGCCGCTTTCCCAGCTTCCTGCAGTTCCGCTTCGGAGGCCTCGGGGCCCCCAGAAGGCCCTCCGCAGACCACTATGCAGCGGCGGCGCAGCATTAGGGGTTAGGGTTTAGGGTTTAGGGTTTAGGGTTTGGGTGAAGATGGCGATGAGCGCGGAGTTCGTCGTGGCGCCCTGGCCGTCTTCTCCGCTGTGGCCTCTTTTCCGGCTGCTGAAGCTGCAGCTGCTGACAGCCCCGGAGCCTTCTTTGGTGGAGCTTTGCGGCTTTTCATTTGCTGCTGCTGCTGCTGCTGCTGCAGTGCAGCTGCTGCTGCAGCTGCAGCAGACCCCCACCCCCCTGCTCTACGGCGCGGCCCTGGGCCCTGCGGACGCCGCAGCAGCAGCAGCAGCAGACGCTGCTGCTGCCCCCGAGAGCGACCCCCAGCAGCAGCGGCAGCCGCAGCAGCCGCTGCTGCTGCTGCTGCTGCTGCTGCTGCTGCAGCTGCTCAGCAGAGTGCTGCAGAACTTGAAGCAGCTGCTGCTCTTCTCTTTTACTCTCCGAATTCTTCAGTGGAGTTCTCGGCGGATATTTTGGCCGCGGCTGTTTGAGCTGTACGTACACCTCAAGCCTTGGGGGGCTTCGCGGGCAGCTGGTGAGTCTCTTCATTTATTTCATTTTCAAATGCAACTCATTTGCTTCTTTCATTCCCGCTTGCTGCTGCTGCAGCAGTTGCTGCAGCAGCTGCTGCAGCAGCCGCTGCAGCAGGCAGGAGCAGGCCGCCGCGCCTCACAGTTGAGGTGTACGTACACCCCATTTCGTTGCCTCTGCTGCAGCAGAAGCCGAAACGCTAGCAGACACACAGGAGAAGCCAGCAACAGCAGCAGCAGCAGCAGCAGCAGCAGCGTCTCGGACTATTCGGCTGCTACCTGCAGCAGAGGTAGCAGAGCCAGCAGCTGCAGCGGCAGCAACAGCGAAAGCAGGAGCAGCAGCAGAAACAGGAGCAGCGGCAAACACGGGAGCAGCAAGAGAGTCAGCAGCAGCAGAATCAGGACCAGCAGCAAGAACTGAAGCAGAAACACAATCGGCAGCAGCAGCAGCAGAGACTGCAACAACAGCAGCAGAGCCAGCAGCAGCAGCAACGGCAGGAGACAGTAGTGGCTTCGGCTTCAAAGGCAGCAGCAGCAGCAGCAGCAGCAGCAGCGGCAGCAGCAGCAGCAGGAAAGTTGTGAAGACTCTGGTGGTGCTGGGCTCCGGTGAGCAGCAAGAAGCAGTAGCAGTTAGGGAATTTTAATTTTGCAAACTTTCAATCAAATTGCTCAGCAGCAGTTTAAACCCTAAGCAATTCATTTGCTGCTGCTGCTGCTGCTGCTGTTTTTCCTGCTACTGCTGCTGCTGCTGCTGCTGCTGCTATTCTTCCTGCTACTGCTGCTGCTACTGCTGCTGTTACTGCTGCTTGTGCTGCTGCTGCTGCTACGGCTGCTGCTGCTACTGCTGCTGTTCTTCCTGCTACTGCTGTTGGTGCTGCTGCTGCTGCTGCAGGGGGCCACACTGCAGAGCTGCTGCGGCTGCTGGCTGCTGTTGACCTGCAGCGGTTCCGCTGCTTGTTTGTTGCTGCTGAAGGAGACAGCAGCAGCAAAGCGGAAACCCTCGAGTTGCTGCAGAAACGCAGCAGCAACAAGGTCCCCAAATCCTAAACCCTAAACCCTAAACGCCCCCTGCTGCTTGGGCCGTTGTTGCTGCTGATGCTGCTGCTGTGCTCCTATTCGTGCTCCTGCTGCTTCTGCTGCTGCTGCTGTTGCTGCTGCTGCTGCTGCTGCTGCTGCTGGGTGCGTCTTCCTGCCACAATTATACATTTAAATCATTTAGTTGGAAATATAAATATAATTAAAACTACTCAAAATGGAATTAAAATTAAATTTTGAACTAAATAGAAATTCAACATTTTAAAAATTAAATTAACTTTTTTCATTTCGATTTTGCTGCTGAGCCGCAAATTGCGTTTTGCCGCATTTAAATGCCATTTTAATTAAATCAATTAGTTCAAACAAATCAAATTAAATCAATTAAATTAAATAAATTATTTAAATAATTAATTAAATTAAATAAATTAAATAATTAATCAAATTAATTAAATTACTTTGAATTGAATTTGCCTGTAGAATGTCCACTTCGACTTCGCCACAATTCCCCGCTGCCGCGAAGTTGGCGAATTTTTTTTAATTTCTTTTTTTAAATTTTTGAAATCTTTTGCACTTTCTTTGAAACTCCTCTACACTCACAAACCCAGACTCGTGAGTGCTGCTGCTGCTGCTGCTGCTGTGCTGCTGCTGCTGTTGTTGCTGCTGCTGCTGTGCTGCTGCCGCCGCGGTGCTACTGCTGTGCTAGGTCCAGGTGTATCGACAGGCAGACAAACCAGCTAGCTAGCCAGCAGCAGCTAGCCAGCAGCAGCTAGCCATTAGCTAGCTAGCTAGCCATCAGCTAGCTAGCCAGCCATTAGCTAGCTAGCTAGACATAGCTCGCTAGCTAGACACAGCTGGCTAGCCACCCGCTAGCTAGCTAGCCACTGGCTAGCTAATGGCTAGCTAACTAGCCAGCTAGCTAGCTAGCCAGCTAGCTAGCCGTAGCTAGCTAGCTAGCCGTAGCTAGCTAGCCAGCTAGCTAGCCATAGCTAGCTAGCTAGCCATAGCTAGCCAGCCAGCTAGCTAGCTAGCTAGCTAGCTAGCTAGCTGTTTTTTGTTTTGTTTTTGTGTTTTCAGATTTTGATGAATGGGCCTGGCACTTGTGTGCCGGTCGCATTTGCTGCAATGCTGCTGGAGGTGAGTTTTTGAATTTTTTTTGAATTTATTTTTTGAATTTAATTTAATTTAACTCAATTTAATTTATTTTGTTTTAATTTGTTTTTATTTTAAACTCTTTTGCTGCTGAGGAGTTCTGGAGGTCTTCGCCATTTCATTTTCTTCTGCGTTTCCCCCGGGTGTCTGTACACTCGGATGTGTCTTCGTCGTTGCAAACTTTCCATTTTTGTTTTATTTTATTTTATTTTATTTTATTTATTTATTTGTTGCAAATTGAAGGAAAAGGAAATATTAGAAAGAATAAATTATATTCAAGAGATTAGGGAGGGGGAAAGGGCAAAAAGCAAAATAGTGAGCTCGAACTGTTGTGCGCTGCTGCTGCTGCTGCTGCTGCTGCGCTGCTGCTGCTGCTGCTGCTGCTGCGCTGCTGCTGCTGCTGCTGCAGCTGCTGCTGGGGGGCCCCCTGAAGCTGCTGTACGTGGAGAGTTGCTGCAGAGTTTTTTCTTTGTCGCTTTCGGGCTGCTGTCTTTACCCATTTGCAAACAGACTAATTCTTCAGTGGCCCCCCGCTGCTGCCAAGTTCAAAGCTGCGGACTACACAGGCCTCCTCACCTAAACCCTAAACCCTAAACCCTAAACCCTAAACCCTAGGGTCTCCGGAGGGAGCAGCGCACAAACCCCAGGGCGAGGGTTTAGGGTTTAGGATTTAGGGTTTGGGGGTTAAGGGCGAGGCTTGGGGCCCAGGTGGTGGCAGCCGCGCCCGCTCACCCCGGGGCGAGGGTTTAGGGTTTAGGGTTTAGGGTTTAGGGTTTGCCCAGACCCCCCGCGCCCCACAAACCGAACAAAGCGCCGAACTTGCGCGAACAAAACCACCAAAAGAACAAACAAATGCAAATAAATAAATAAATAAATAAAATAGACAAATAGTTAATAAATAAAT